CTTTATGGACGTCAAGTGTCCCGGCTGCTACAGGATTACCACAGTTTTCAGTCATGCACAAGGCGTTGTCGTTTGCGCGGGATGTGCAACGATCCTGTGTCAACCCACGGGTGGACGTGCTAAACTGACTGAGGGTAAGTTTGGGAAAATATAAAGCATTTTTGTATAGCAAATTAATGCTTTTCCTAAATTTATTACAGGTTGTTCTTTCAGAAGGAAGCCCCAGTAAGTTAATTAGATGTCAGCGCGATTATTATTATTTTTTTAATAAACAAAAGAATAAAACGTTTCACCCAAACAAGAGCATTCAACTGTTTTCTTTAGACGTATTAAAAGTGCTCCAGCTGCGTTGGAATAGTAATGCTACAAGAAGTGCTGTGCAAACTTTACCTACTTTAACCGAAAAAGTGCATTGTATAAATGAAATAAGGCAGAATGAACTGTGTTTATAATTAAATGCATGTGTCTTGTCCGTATAAACTGAATTTTTGAATTACTGCTCGTAAATCCAAATGTGGGTGTTACGCATTGAGAGGAGGATTAAAGAAATGAAGTTCGGAGTGAAATAAAGCACGTGGATGATTAACGAAGTAAAATGGCTGTGGGTAATTTGTGACCCATTCGTGATGGTGAATTTACGAAAATAAGAGGCTTTTTTATTGGCGCTACAACTGCCGAATCGATTTTGGCCTAGTCCAAAACAGCACGCCAGTAGTTTCTCTTCTGTGCCAAGTGAAGCAAGTCCTTCTCCACCTGGTATTTCCAACACAGAGGAGGCCTTCTGTTAGCAGCATCTCGACCCGCGTTGAATACTTTCAGAGCTGGAGCGTTTATGTCCATTAGACCGACAATCTTGCCATGCGTTGCCGCTGCACTGTGTCCATATAGTTTTAAAGCTCCTCGTTAAATCGTCTACGGTATTCGCCATCGCCAACACATATAAGGCCCGTAAATCTTTAGCAGAATCTCTCAGAAACTCCCAAGATTTTATTCAGAGTTCGTAAATTCTTATCATTGAAGATGAAATATCCCTCAAAGCGTTGCCTTTTGTTTAATTCAAGGTAAAAACATAGGATGTAGAACCGTTCTCTCAATTCGTCGGCCATGACTTTTTTTTAAGTTTGCCAGCATTTCAAAATCATATAAAACTGAAAAAAAAATTAAAATAAATTGCCCAAAAGCAGAGACGTTCTATGAAATAACTCCCTGTTTTAATGCGGTTTAAGTTTACAAAAATGTACTTTCTAAATCTAAGTTTATTAATTAACATCGATGCATAAGTACATGTTTTGCTATATAAACAATTTTCGAACATACTTTGTATGGAAAAAATGCGTAACACCGTCAACAAAAAAATTACCAAAAATCAAATTTCCACCTTGTACTACAATTGGACTACAAAGCTGCGAACGAAATTTTTGTCTAAAGATGCTCATTAAAAAGTTAGAAAACTTCGTGAAATTTTGCAGAATTCTCAAATTTTTGGACAAGCTATACTTTCATAAAAAAAACTAACCAAACTAAAAAACTAACCAAAACTTGTGAAAATGTCGCGTCCCGGTTTACCCTGCAAACCATTTTTTCAGAGTATTCTGAATCGTAAAGAAATTTTAAAGAATTCGGAAAGATCCCATCCGATTTTTTGCCGAATTTTCTAAAATGAAATAAATTACGCACACTTCCATTCTTTTACGAAATTTCGGAAGAAAATCGGTAAAGAAATGAAAATAATGCTGCTATGTGAAGAATTTCTTGCAGACTTTTTTCAGAATTTTCTTTATTTTTCGTACAGAAATTTCTTTACGAGTTCGTGTCAACCACTTCATATAATTTTCTTTGAAGATTCGGGGAAAAAAATCGTTACAGAAATCAGATACTCCTAAAGATTTCGTTAAGATTTCGGGAACTTTGGTTTGCAGGGTATGTATACATATTTGATTCGCTGTAGGTATGTATGTATGTAAAACTTTTCATTGATATTGATATTGATATATTGGCTGTCTTTTTTCATTCTGAACGTTTGGAATAAACTTTTTTGTTTACTTATTATTTAGAACGGTCCTCAAGATATGTTATATTTCAAACGCATTCTTTTTCTTCTGGCTGTGAAATGGGATTATCTGGAATGTATAAAGAAGAGCAGCCATGAAATTCATTGCAAGGGGTCTGTGGGATAGGGTGTATTTATTAAATACCGTCTGAAATTCATAAAAATTATAAACGTCGCGAAAAAAGATCAACCGCGGGCAATGTTTATTTGCATATGTATGTGTACAAATGCGTGTATTTGTATTTCTACTTAGGAATTAAACATAATTTTTTGCGTTCCAAATGCCTGTCAAATTCCCTAGTATGAAAGTGGAAAAATGTTAAATTCCATACTACATGATTTCCACTGAGTAGTGTGCACACAATGGTTGCACCAAAGAACGTAGCTAAGACGTAGCTGTTGCTAAACTGTTGAGTGTTTGTTTCATAAACGCACAGTTGAGTAGTTCCGCTCAGCTCAACGGTTGGAAACTTTACGCCATTTTTTCCATCATAATATTATTTCGCTACTTGAAGTCAACAATTTACATAAGTCAAAAATGATGTTTCCCTTCCGTCAGTTTTCATAGAAAATTCAAATAAAAAAATAATTTGTCTGTAAATTGCTGACGAAACTGGCTGTTATTAAAGTAAAATGCACGTACAAATACATATACTAAAAATAATATAAGAAAAACTCCATTATAAATCCTGTGCTATCCATATTTTTGGCTTAATATATTTTTTTATTTTTGTGCTGTTTTATTTAATTTTGCTCGTTTACAATGTTTTGGCAGTTAATGTATCTAAGACGTAACTGTTGAACGCAATACTTGACAGCATTTCAGCAACAGTTGAGGTAAACAGTTGCGTCTTAGAAACGCGCCCAATGTCACGCAAAGCTACAAAGTGTTGTCTGGCATCAGCTTTAGTCATTCTCTACTACTCATTATGCCTTGGTTATAATGGACGGAGCGAATCGTAACAAATCGCGACGAATTCGTAAGGATCTATTGGCGCGTATTCATAGTCCAGCTACTAAGTCGAAGCTAATAAAGTTGCAAATTTAAGTACCAACTTAAAATTCACTTCTATTCATAGTTGCATTTCAGACTTCTAAGTAGTTTTAACTTAGTTTTACGATATTGGAAAACGAGTGTGAAAGTGTATCGATTTTTAATTACGATATTTTGGAGAAATGACATTTTTATTAAATAATGTCAAGTTCGTCCATTCATGTAATTTTTACTTTCATTGCATGTTTATGCAAAAGAATAAGGTATAAGTTTCTTGTTAATTGTGTGAAATAGCCAGAACTACCGCAATAATAATAATAATAAGTCGATGTTTATCGAAAGCATGCTGTGAAACATACAAACACATATCCAAATTTAATGCCATAATTTGCTTTAAAAGAACAAGTTTGAAATTGACTTATTATTTGAGCATTTATATATGTAAATCATTCCAATTATAAAATTGTGATGTAGCCTTATTCGAATTGTAATACGCATTTAATTGCACCATCCGATTCAAATGGATCGCTCTTTGTAAATTTCAATTGGATATCATTCAGTATTATCAAAATCACACCCCGCCAACTTAATTTTTACATATTTCGTCTTTTTAGCTTAATTTAATAAAATACTTCTTCCTAGTTACGATTAATTGCAGCTGCAGCCGAAACTAAATTTTAAGTTGGTACTTAGCAAGAAAAGTCGAAACTAAGGCGACTATGAATAGCTTTAGTTGTAACTTAGGATAGTTTCGACTTACTTGTGAACTAAATATGACTATGAATATGCGCCATTGATTTTAGATTGTTCCGTTTTACGTTACGTTAGGTGCATTATAACCATTTGCATTCATTTCCCATACAATAGATAATTAAGTGACAGTTCACT